GTGCTGCCCTTGCATTCACCACGCCCAACTGTCTGCGGCCTTTCCGTTGCACGCGCATGTCTCCCGTCTCCCTCGCGCCAAAATGTCTTGCCGCCCACTCCTTGTTAATTAAGGAAATTATTTTGTTTTTATTTTACTCAATTTTATTTTATTTTATCAAAATTAGATTTAAGGAATAGTTGCTCTAGTTGATTATAGCAAGTTGGTGCCATTTAGGAAATTATTTTGCAATTATTTTGTTTATTTTATTTTCCTTGGATTTTTAGGTTTATTTTGTTTAGCAAAATATTTTGTTAAAGGCATTTGGCATTGGCTTATAAATAGACGAGCCCCTCGTAGTTGCAAAACAATTTAAGTCAAATTTGAGTTGAATACTCAAGATATTCTATTTTATCCTCAGAGCATGCTTGGTCATCAAATTCGTTGAGTATTTTAGATCTCGAGCATAGTCATCTATCCGCCCAAGATGACTACAAAGGTAATTCATCTAACATTTATCTTTTGGGTTGAATCAACTATACGATTGAACGGTTCGAGTAGTTGATACGCTTGGATTGTCGTTGATCACATAATCATGTAACTTACAGAAGATGGGAAGGGAGGGATCGCATCAACTAGAGTTCATGTAGAAAAGAAAAAAACGTGCTACGAGATATAAAATTATCTTTGGAATAGACGATTTTGTTAATTAAATATATGAAGAATGATCAACTCATAAAACACTATCTTCGTATATTTCCCAAATGTATTGTGTAGAAATGACATCTAAAAACGTACGTAACATTAAAAATAATCTCTTTAACTTTTGTTAATTCTCATGAATTCATATAAAAGTAAGTTTAATACAATATTTGAATCTTTAGAACACCCATTCATAAAAGTTATTTGTCAAAGCGTTTCGCATACTTGTGTGTTTGGAATGAGTGATTTTAAAAACTAAAAAAAATCAAGAATAATTGATTTTTTAAAATAATTGGTGATATCTTAAAAAATCAATATAGAGTGATTTTAAATTTTCTTAAAATCACTTTTTTAATTTGCGAAACATGATCAATAGAAATGAGAGTAATTTTAGCAATGGCAAAAGTGATTTTTGGTCATGCCAAATCATTTCCAAACACATCCTTATACGATCTCCAAACTTGGGGTTTTTTCTCATTGACTTTTTTGGTATAATTCCACAAAATTTTAAAAAGTACTTTGATCCATCTTGGTCCCTTAATCTTCATTTTTATTTCATTTCTTTCCATCATAATTTTAACACTACACTTCACTCACTAAATTTCTTGAAATATAGCCATAAACTCAAAATACAGGGATCAAAATGAACGTTCTAGTAATACATGGATCAAAATAGACGTGTTGAATGTCCAGGGATCAGAATAAACCAAAATGATCAAAAGTAAAGGATCCAAATAATATTTAAACCTATAAAAAAGACTTGCAAAGATAAAACATGAAAGAGAGAGAGGAGTTTTGGAAGAAATTAAGTTGATTTATGTGTGTTGGTCAATTGCTAGGAAGTAGGCTTATGTAAAGGAGAAAGAAAGGCTTAATAAACACTTTGTTGGATCTTCCCCCATTGAAGAAATTTAGCCCACAAATATATTTAGTATACAACATACAAACATATGTGGCTCTCCCTCCCCTCCCATCCTTCAAATACTCCTCTTTTCCCATCCCCTCTAGAGAGAGAAACAAAGACAAAGAAAGAGAGAGAGAGAGAAGAGACTCATCATCTCACAATGTCTCAATTCAATCACATGCAAACATACGGTGGCAATGCTAGCCCCGCCGTGGAACAACTTTTCCGAGGTCCGAATCAAATTCTCATTTCATGTTTCTTGTTTCCTGGTAACTTATAGTTTTGTTGGTCGTTTTGATGTAAGAACTGTCATCGTTTCTCTTCTTCTCTCCATATATACACTTTCTCTTATTAGTCTTATAATGTACATTTTCTTTCATTTATCCTTTCACTCAATTTTTTTCGCTTATTTTTTTTTTGTTATTTTAATTGTTTTTATTTTCGTAAAATTTTCTATAATTTTAACTATTTTTATTTACGTGGTTGGTTGATTATACAAATATTTGTCCATTAAATATTAATCATTTAAAAAACACTTAGTGTATTAAATATAAAGAAACCCATTTTTAAAAAAAGATCAAATTAAATAAGATGTGATTCTTAGCATGAAAATAATATTTTTGGTGCATTTGGGTTTGTTGACTATAATGTAATCAATAAAGGATAATGGCTCAACAAACTAAACTAGTTGCAAAAGATATTGTTTTTAGGTTAATAGAGCAGAAGTTTAAATCTCCGACCTTTTAGTCATCCGTTGATAACTCGTGAAAATAAACTTGTTTAGTAAAAGATTCATTGTTTTGTGTTACTATAAACATTTCAATAAGAGTTTTGAGACCCTAATAATTTAGTAAATTTAGTAGATGTTTGAAATTTGAGTTCAAAACTTTTTATTTTTTCAGAAAGGGAAATTAATGTTTCAGATAACTACTTTAGAAGTAATTCTTTTAATTGTGCCTAATTTTCGAAACATTTGGTATTGTTTTTTATTTGAAAGATACAGACTAAGCAAACAATTAAAAATATGAAACAAAAGAATTATTTGTTTATCCTGGAACTGAAATCTCAAACAAGATATTTTGCAACTGCACAAATTGAGACTGCCTTTAGTTTTAAACAAATCCATTGAAAAGTACTGCTTGTGGAGAATTAACATAGTTTAGGCATTTCCACGTGCAGATCAGGGGCCGGATGCTTCAAGATGGCCTCCGTCGTATTCGTCGCCATCGCTTGGAAGAGACCACGACCCCGAAGAGGATATCGATCACCATCAGAAGAAATCAGTTTTCACCAAGGTGAAGGAAAAGGCAAAGAAACTGAGATACACTCTCAGCAACAAGAAGAAGCACGGTGAAGACGAGAACCCAACGCCATCCTGGGGTTATAATTTGGACGAGGATGAAGAGGAGGACGATGGCGATGCTGAATATCTTGGAGCCCCAAGTAAACTCCTTCCGTTTAAATGTTGTTCCAAATTCCATTCCTGATTTTAACTTAGAACAACACCCTTCTTTTTTCTTCTCTCTTCCTTTGCAGTGTATGAATCGGAGCTGGCACCCGAGGACTGCAAAGAGAATGCTAGGCAGCATCCTCGAGCAGATCCTGTGATTGCTGAGAATCATGTTTTAGCGAATACCATAAAGCTTGCCTTTGGACAAGATGAAAAGCCTTTCAACTCTTCAGAGACGTCGTCTCGAGCGGTTGCAGGGCCATCCCTTGAGAATAGGGAGAGAACAAGTGAAATTACAGCTGCAAATAGTGCCATTCGCACTACGGAAATACAAGAAAATGAGGCTGCAAAGCCTCACAGTCCGGGCAAGACACTGACTGAAGCTGTAACAGAGAAGCTGGCACCGGTTTATTCCACTGTTACTGACGCTACGCATGCCATTGCTTCAAAGATCCATAGCCTGACTGTCTCTGCTCCATCTACCCTGTCGGTCCGTTCTTCACCTGCAACTCCAGAAAAAGCTTCTTCCCCAGCAAATCCGAGACCAAGCTCTGCCCGAACAGCTTCACAAGCATCAAAGCTTGGTAAAGGAACTGAGCAGATATGGGACAAAGGAGTTTCAGTAAAGGAGTACTTGATGCATAAGTTTGAGCCAGGTGAAGATGAGAGAGCTCTATCTCAGGTGTTATCCAATGCACTGAGTCCGAGAACAAATCCCAGAGATGTAGGTGTGGTAGAGAAGATGAAGGAGGCAGTAAATTCTATGTTGCGAGCAGAGGACGAACCAGAGCCGCAAGCTGCACATTTGGCGGTAAAATCTTCATCACGGGCCGAGAAGGCAGCACCAGAGACAGTGGCTGCATCCTTGGCTACAAAATCTTTATCACAGACCAAGAAGGCACCAGAGCCAGTGGCTGTATCCTTGGCCACAAAATCTTCATCACAGACCAAGAAGGCATCACAGCCAATGGCTGAAAATTTGGCTGCAAAACCTTCATCACAAGCCGAGAAGGCACCAAAGGAAGTGACTACACATTTGGCTAAAAAATCTTCATCACAAACCGAGAAGGCACCACAGGCAGTGACTACACATTTGGCTTCAAAATCTTCATCACAAACCGAGAAGGCACCACAGGCAGTGACTACACATTTGGCTGCAAAATCTTCATCACAAACCGAGAAGGCACCACAGGCAGTACTGGCTGTACATGTGACTGCAAAACCTGCATCGCGGGCTGAGCCAGCACCACAGGCAATACTGACTACAAATCTGGCAGCAAAACCTTCATCCAGGGTTGAGGCGGCACCACAGCCAGTGGCTGCACATTTAACTGCAAAATCTTCATCAAATGCTCCGACCTTTACCACTGCCCACAGAGGTCAGTTACTACAACTTCATATTTCCACTCTTACAGTCTGATATACATATAAATATATTACATAGTATAACAGAATAAAGCAATATTTCTCTCTGATGCAGTAGCTGAGGAAGAGAACCTTGAAAGAATACTCCAAACCAATTAACAGACATGTGCAACACCAATCAGAAGTTTTAGACACAGACAGCAAACAACAAACAATAAAAAATAAACTACGTTTTTTCCCTCCATTTTGTTTGATTTAGTTCAGTCTTGTATTGTACCAATAAAATACTTCTGCAGTACTTTTATTGCAGAATTATGTGAAGAATGCAAGGGATGCTTGTATTCAAATCTTAGTTTTACTAATATTTTCAGACATGTAGTCTTCTGGGTTTATTTGAACTTTTAATAAGGAATTTTTGTATCTAGAAATAATGTATTTTGGAATTCTATAAATTCACAGTTTCGAACTTTGAACTTGTGAATTAAGTAAATATACACGAGCTTGAACTCTGAAAGGCCATTGTTCATTGAGCAGTAGACGCATTTGTACCACAATCTTATTCTTAAACTGTCAAACATGTAATTTCTAAATTTATTTCTCTTGCTCGAGCCATCAGATTAATTATACGACTCCTAAAAAATTGGCGATACAATAATATACAGAAAGTTGATGAATTTCAATCATACTGGTAAAAATATTTAGATATACACATTTCAAGAAGGGAGAAAAGCATGAATACACCTATTCAATTTGAGACTGCCTATTCAATTGATCAACAAGATCTCTTGAATCGCAGCAATGACTGGTCGTGTCAGATCTCCAAGCGAGAAGTATGCTGCAATCATTCTGCCAATGTTAGCCAATTCAACTGCTGAAAAAATATGTTTATTATTAAAATCTTGTGAAGGTGAATTCAGCCATTACGTGTATATCACTTCAAGATTTTGGATTCTATTTCTTCCAGACTAAGACCTTTGGTCTCGGGAACTTGAAGAGATACGAAAAGAAGTGAAAGCAATGCAATACCACCAAAAAGAAGGAAAAGGTTTTCTGCTCCAAGCAATTCCTGTAAGACAGAAATTTAAGCATCTATCAATTTTGAGATGACTCCAAAAATAGTGGGAAGAAAGGTAAAGAATAATATGCCAGTACTTCTATAAAGGAACAAGAATCAAGGCAAAAGTTTAAAGGAATAAGAACCTTCAGTGGAGAAAATGCAAATGTGACAATGGCGTTTGAACCAAAATTAGTAAGAACTGCAAGACTGATTCCTTTCCCTCTAGTTCGGAGTGGAAATATTTCTGACACCATAAGCCAACTGATTGGTCCAAAGGATATCTGCAATGACATCTCAAGAAGTTTTTCACACTTTAATGACAAGAAAAAGTAGCAGCAAAGGATCAGCAAATTTCCAGTTTCACATTGAAGTTGTCTATAAATCAGGTAAGAGAGGTTCCTATCAAATTTGATCCCCTCCAGCGATACCATAAAAGTGCTAATATGTAGAGAGAGAAAGACTGATTGACAAATTCCTCAAGGCGAAAGAAGCAACAGAATTATACCTGGTAGCAGCCAACATATAGAAGCAGGGCAGCTACAGCAACAATGGGGAATCCACCAAGAAATTTGTAGTAAGCTGAAAGAAGAAGCAAGGAAACTGCCTGCGGTAATATAAGATAGCAGAATAAGAACTCCAAGTGAACCATTCTTCAAAGATTAAAAGGTTATTGCACATGCCGCCAAATTAATAAATATGATTATAATGCTTACAATTCCACTGACACCTCCAATGAGCAGGGGTCTTCTTCCAAGATCATCAACTTTTAGAACAGCTATCCAAGTCATAAGTAACTGAAGGAAGATAATCACAAGAAAATCATAAGAAAACCAAAAACAGTTATAAGAGTCAAAGAGAAACATTCTTTTCTAATTTAGATTGTGTATTATTTTAAATTATCAATGCACCTTAAACACCCCTATCACAACTGATACTCTAGTAGCATCGGAGGCAGCAGCAAATCCTGCATTCTTGATTCATAATGGTACAGAAATTATGGTTTAGCAGAGAGCAGGAAAATTGCATTCTTGAGATCTAATGGTTCATAATGGTACAGAAATTATGGTTTAGCAGAGAGCATGAAAATTACATTCTTGAGATATAATGGTACAGAAGTTTTGGTTAAGTAGGGAGAGAGGAAGAGGAGCAAAACCTGAAGAATGGAACCTGCATAATATAAAACGCTTGGCTGTCCAGTTATCTGTCACAGTTGATAGAATTTCTAGACAATCTGAGTCACTTGTACTTACGCTAAAATGGTACTCTTTTAAAATGAAAGGACTACAGACAAAATCAACTTTTAGAGATGACGAAAAACCTGCTGAAAGAGAACCAAACCTCCACCAATGATGAAGGCTTTCAAACTTGGGCCTTGAAAAACCTCCCAGATACTACCTTCAGATTCCTGCTCAGAATAGGCAGATTTCAGGGAGAGAAACGTTTCTTCTATTTGACTTTCGGATACTTTATCACCAGGAGGTCGTCCTCTAAGTTTACTCAAGGCCTCAATGGCTTTCTCTTTTGAATCTTGTAAAGGCGCTTTACCTTGAACCGCCCTGAGAAGTAACCAACGAGGCGATGGTGGGAGCACCCACATTCCTAATCCCATTAATAAAGCAACCGGTGCACTAAGTCCATACATGTATCGCCACCCTCCAACCGTATTAATCCGAAGGCTTCCAACTAAATACCCCAACTGCATAATAGAAATATCTTGAAAATTAGCTAATTCTTGAAAGGGAAGTAACTTAAACGACACGAGAGAAATTTATCAGCAATACCAGAATTCCTAGGACTATAAACAGTTCCTTTAAAGATACTAAAGTTCCACGAATCTGAGATGGGCATGTTTCTGCTATATAAAGAGGAGCCCCATGCATGGCCTGTTAAATGGAAAATGGTCAAAACTAGGAAACCATAACAGAATGCTCTTGCAGTTCAAGGGACTAGTGAGAAGTAAGCAATAAAATTACCAGACCAATACCAAGGCCATAGAGAAGTCTTCCCGCCAAAAGAACACCCAGATCAGGGCAATAAGCAGTGATCAGGCTACCAACTGCATATAGTACAGCTGCTATAATAAGCTCCCTCCTCCGCCCTTATGACCAAAATAAGAAAATAAATCCAGTAAAATTCACAAGAAGCTTCAAACTTGAGGTTAAATTAAACATGGCAAGCATGTACCGAGAAAATCTGCAATTGGGTACACAAGGAGGGAACCAAGAAGAGCTCCATAAAGAGAACCACTAACCTAAATTCAAGGTAATACAAAGCCGATAAAAGTTTTGGAGATATTGGCATCACAATTTACAATCGTAAATCCTACAAGAGATACTGACCACAAGACCAAGTTGGACGGCAGAAATGTTAAACCAAGTTGTGCCACTAAGCTCTGGTGACTGACAATTTAAGGAAAACAAAGGAAACTCATGAACAATATATGGTATAACTTTCTCATCTAGAAAAGATTTTAGGCTGGAAAAGAGATTATATCAGAAAGATGAAGATGTACCTGCAAGGAGATGGTAGCTCCAGAGGTGGCACCAATGTCATATCCAAACAACAAACCTCCCAAGGCTGGGAACAAGAACCTAATAAAGCAGAAATTCGACGAGGCAATACGCCAACTCAAATACCCCAAAAGTACAAAAATGCTAACTAGTTAAAACCAAACCCAATTGATGAATTGAACTCCGGATATCCATAAAAATGTACAAATAAAGAGCTAACTCCATAAACCCACATAAACCAAGAATTTTATTCAACGAAAATCGGAAGTAAAAATCAGAATCGAGCACAAAACCGCTGAAAACGTACGGCAAAATGACAGAAGACCAAGAAAACTGTTCTGCACTGGCTGCGTCAGAACCAAGCGACTTGGTTTCTTCCACCCCGGACAAATAATCAGCCTGATCACCACCAACCTACAGAGCAGACAAGAATTTGAAGCAAACTTTTCCGATCATCACACAAAATTCAAATGGGAGTTCGAAAATTTCTGGACCTTAGCGATGAGCCCAAGCTTGGAACCAGAGGGAGACGCTGGGCCACGGAATCGGGCATGTAGATTGGCGCTGAATGATGAAACTAGAAGTGGGGTAATGGACGATGAGGAGAAGAGAAGTGTTGAGCCCTTCAGTTGGGGTTTACGAGTGTGATACAGAGAGTGTTTATGGGTGAAGAGAGGTCGAACTGGCGCAAAGCAGGCCATGGCAATGGCAGAGGGATCGCAGAGAAAGAGAGATGAAGCTGGACATTGTTGCGGTTGTAGGTTCCACTGTATATTATCGTGTGTGTGTGTTGAGAATCAGAATCTTGTGGCCTCCTTTCGTTTCTCTTTTCCTGTGAATGTGTACCTCAATTCAATTCTAGTGCTGCTTTGTTTCTTCTTCCTAGTTCTAACCGTTTCCTTTTTTGTTTTGTTAACTCTCGTAACTCTAATTTATAACAATTTAAGTCCAGTTGTAATAAAAAAAAACGATTTAGGTCCAAAATGAAAATGAAAATGAAAATTTTCATTGTCTTTGATAGTATTTACTAGAGGTTAAGAACGGAATCAATTAGGGGGCGTTTTACTTACCTACATGTTCAGCATCGGTAGCCTGGATTTGTTAAACGTGGAGTTGATCTTGAGGTATTTTGTAACCTAATTTGAGGCCAACGATGGTGTAACTTAAGTCTGGGTAGTTTGTGTTTAGGTTGTAAGGTTGGACAAACCATTTTTAGTTATTTTTTTCTTTTGTTTTTTAGTGAAATATTCAACCATTCATATAATCTAGTTAAATTTGTAGACAATTTTGTATAATGAAATCAATCCATCCATTATAAATTTTGTTTCTTAATTTATATAATCTTTAACGATAATTTTCTTTTTTTTTTCATACAACGATATTGTGTCCCTTATGTGCAAAGTATACACGTTCGTTGTAGTAAGTAATAAAAAGTTCGAATCCACAGGGAATGTTCACTAAACACTTTAATGGAGGCTCAAGAAAGCTAAAACCTAAATGCAAAGTGTTGGATAGCCAAAACAACATGGGTATTATAGAAAATAAAGGCTGCGATGCACAGTTAATACCATGAACTTGAACCTAAATTGCATTCAAGTATATTTTCAACAAGAACAGTAAACAGTGAAAGTGGTTAACAAATTTCTCTTTTACTAGGTAAGGGGAAAATTGAATGTGACTTTTTCTGGACTGCTCAAACAATGCTATAGCATTAATAATGTGAATACTGGCCAAACAGACCTGGAACCTTTCTAGACATTCCAGATTTTCTGCTATTAGGGTTTTTAAACAAACTTAAACAGCATTTAGTAGCAGTTTATAGCCATGCTAGGTGAGCCCTATTCCTAAGTACCCCACTCTCTAACGCAAGCAAATTCTAGCATAAATTGAAGTTTGTCACTCTCTATTACACTTTTCCAAGAGTTAATAAGGAGATATTTCAACAATGGTGATCAAGCATGCTGAAAATAACTTTACACACAACTTCAACTCAATACTCATTCATCATTAACGCTAAAAGCACAGTGTATAGCCCAAGAGAAAATTTCACAACATTTCCCTCTTACAAGTGGGCTTAGCTACGCATAGTCATAGAGAAAGCAAAAAGACAACAAGAATAACTACAATGAGAAATAGACGCAAGAGTGAAAAGAATGACCTTTCCGGGCTTCTCTTTCTTCTACTTCAGAAACGGCTTCGGGTCTCCACCCTTCTTCTTGACTTCTTCGAACTGAATTTGAGAGGTTTTCTTGAAGTGAGGATTGATTGATGTGAAAAGTGTGTGGAGGCTTCCTTTAATGTTGTCTTTTATACCCCCATTTGTTTTTAAAGCAACAAACAGCATCCATGGGCCCCATCTCTCACTTCGAGCTGATTTCTTCATTTAGTGTGGTAACTCCCAGATTAAAGCTCTGTCACTGTCAGCCTGTTGCTTTCTGCTCTTTTCTGATTCCAATGTTGTAGCATAGTTGATGCTGCAGCAAAATTGTAACAACCCGTATTTTTTAATATGGTCATTCTGACAAAATGCGAAAGCGTAAACAAATAAACACTATATTAAAGGAAAAACTTCTTTATTTAATTTGATACTATGACAAAAGATAAGGACAAATTCAACTTTGAAACAAAAACCTATATTATAATAAAGTCAAAGAATAACTAGTAGAATTAACTAAGTTCTCATAAGCTAAAAAAACAATGGAAAATACTAAAGATTCCAACTCCTCACTATTCCTCAATCACTATCAGAGCAGTCACTCGAACCTTCATCTGAAAACATTTAGAAAATAGAAAAAAAAAGTACAAAAATACTCAATAAGCAATTTCCATATCAAACATTGAAATTCATTTTTTCCTTTCAAAACATTTGTAACAAAAATACGAACAAATCAAAACTTTTAAAATTCCTTCTAAAACAATTAGTACAACTTTCACACTTTCGAATAAACTAAATCATTCAAACATTCAAAACAATGTTACATTCAAAACAATGTTACATTCATTCGTACTTTCAAAATCAAAGTGGGAGGTTGCATTATTTGGGTAGTCTACAAAACATATGTGGTTACCCATCGGTAACACCAATCAATAAATTAGAAGCTTCTATCAGAGTTATCGAATTAATATCGACCAGAACAGAGTTGTAGAAATAATATCGACCAGAACAAACAGAGCGATTACATAAGTGTGAGGTCATGTGATTAAATAACACACACATGAATCTTCATTCAGAAGGAATGTCAAACCACAAAAGTGTCTTCCCACAAATTAGTCAGAACAAAAATTCATCAATTCCAAATTAGGCTACTACCTCAAATAAGAAAAACGTTCCTCAAAACAAAAATATGGCATATCCAGATAGCCCTATCAAATCAATCAAAATATCTTTCAAATAAATATGCAAAACAAATACATACTTTCAATATGAAATCAGTTCAAACATTTAAATAATTTCAAACAAACTTTGTTAAATCATACCAAACATAATTTCAAATATTTTACAAATAACAATAATATCAATTACCAAAATATTTATCAAATCCATAATAAAACTTCAATTTCATGGGCAAGACATCAATTTCAAATCTTCATATCAAATAAAAAATAAACTTTAGTTTTGGAATGGATATGACAAATTACTTACAATACTTTTTCGAAGAGGATATGGCAAATTACTTACGTGTTTTAGAAATCCTACAAGTCAACTTAGAGGCAAATCCTACCTAAAGATTTAAAATTCAACTAATTACTAAGAAAATCTTATCTACCCAATTTTCCCATTCAAAATACTTTTTTATGCAAAACAATTAGGAAAATATGGATTTAGGGCTACAAAACCARATTTGAAAAACTGGGTTAAAAAGCCTCTAAATTAAAAAATAACAACTTTAAAATTACAAGAATCGGTATAAATCAATACATATCAAATTTACGAAAAGTTTCTCAACAAAATAAGCTTAAAAACCTTCTAAACAATTGAGAATTTGGAGATTTTAAATCTGGAAAATTTTATGTTTTATAAAATAAAACTTCCAACAATTTTCCACAAAACAATTACCAATTTACTGATTTTTTATAGAAAAATCAGATCTGAAAAYTGTATAGAAAACCTTTAAAACTTGGTAAAAGTATACAATTTTTCATGTAAAATTCAAAAAAATAAGCTATAGTTTGTGGGATACAAATAGGTAAACTTTTTATGCAAAAATAGTCCAAAAGTAGCCCAAAAATAGTCTCATAAACAACAAAATTCAAACTAAAAATTCTGGAAAATTTTTAGGATAAAAAATCCTTAAAATCTTTTATTCTAAAAACAAAGACCTCAAAATTTTTTCTAATAAACTGAATTAAAGAACTACAGATCAAGAAAAATAAAACTAAAACAATGAGCAAGAAGAAAAACTTAACGATCTTTGACAGAAAATACAAAATTCTTCTTTTTTTTTTCTTTTTCTCTTGGAGAGAAAACTATGTCTAGTAGTTTAAGAAAATAAAACTTAGGGTTTAACGGCTTTTAAAACAAACTCTAATGAATCCTTTTTTAAAAAGACTAACATAAAAAGATAAAAAATTTAATAAAACTCTTTCTTTTTATTTTTAAATTATAAGATCAAATTATCTTTTAACAATAATTTTTAAAACAAAAAGGTTTATATTTGAGAAAATAAAACAAAACAAATAAAAATAATATATATATATATATTCCTGTTGTTACAAAAATGCCACGAATTAGACCTTGTAACAAAATTCGCAAGGCTAAGAACGAATGAAATATTCAAGCATTTTAGACAACACTTAATGTAGACTGGGTGCAATTGAGCCTATTTTAAGCTAATCTATGTGAATTTCTCGCCCAAATAACTCCCTTTTGGAGAGTTACCATATCAATTAAATTTTAAACTCAATCAAATTGTTCATATTAGTTTGGAACAAATTTTAATATTGATATCATGGTTCAATAAATTATCTAATGACAGAACAGTTTTATGAGTAATAGAACAGAGAAAATAGTCCACATAATTACATGAAAAGTAAATTTCATCCAACCATTTTTTTTAAAGATGTTTGTAAAGTTAAATTTTCTAACCTTTTTTTTTTGGTAAAATACACTTTTAGTCCATGAATTTGAGGATAGATTTCTATTTGGTCCCTAAGTTTCAAAAAGTGACAGTTTAGTYCCCGACCTTTAGAAAATGGTTCTAAATGGTCTCTAAAGTTAAACTTCGAATGCTGACATGTCCTTTTAAGGTCTCAGGTAGCGCTTGTTGATGTGTCTATTTTAAATATGTGGCATTTGTATTTTTTTAAAATGAAACAAATACTTTGATTTTACAAATTGAGTAATTGAATTGTGAGGTGGCTATTTCTCTTGACCGTCATCCCTCCCTCTCATTCGTCTCTCCCACGTCTTCTTCCCTCTCATTCGTCTCTCCCACGTCTTTTTCTCTACGAATTTGTCCATTGCCACTTCTGTGTTCATGAAAGATATTCTCTCTCAAGTGACGTCGGAGGCCATCTCCCTAGAAAAATCCGACTTTGCTCCCACTGTCGGCCTTCTCGAAAAGGTATTCTCGGGTTTCTCGTCCAATCTCACGCCACGAAATGACGAGGGTTTGATTTTGTTCAGTGGGTTGAAATTAATTTATGGGTTTTGTGTTGATGGGTAGAAAAATTGAAATTGATAGTGAAAGAGGTAATTGTAGTTAAAGATTAAATTGTTGATGAATTTTTGAATTTTGAGAAATCTCAATTCCTTGGGTTTGTTCCTCAACAAGTCGGTTGCTGAATTTATGCTCTAATCTGACTTCTCTAACAAAATTAGGAGATTTTTTTTTGCTCTACTGTGTTCTCTAACGAAATTAG